CCTCTTTACCTTGCCTGTGGGTTCCCTCGAGAGCATCTGGCTGGCCGTCACGGGGAAGGAGGATGAGATGGGCCTTGTCGGGCCTGATCCCGCCAGGCTCTTTGGATTAATTAATTTATTTGTATTATTTGTAGCCCGCCTTCCTCCCAGGGACTGCGGGCGGATGACAGGGAGCGAGTCAGTACTGTCAGCAGAATGGGACATTCAGGGACCCACCCACGAGGCTTGTGGAAGTCTGGAAGCCGTCCACAAGAACCACACACAGTCCCAAGACAGTCTGGTATGGAAAAATACATACAGATGTGTGCTGGATGCCCACAGAACAATGCAATAACAAAAGAGACTAGATTAAAGCCACAACATCATTTGGTTCTTGATAATGAGCAACCCGTGATTCCTTCATAGAAAAAATACAAAGGCCAATAAAACTTCACATAGCAGTCTGCTCCAGACTCTCTCAGTCTGTATCCCTGTAACAGTCTTGTAAGGTAAAGGTAAAGGTTCCCTTGCTCGAAAGCCAGTCAAATCTGACTGTAGGGATGCGGTGCTCATCTCTGTTTCCAAGTCGAAGAGCCAGCACTGTCCAAAGATGTTCTGTGGTCATGTGGCTGGCATGACTAGATGCCGAGGCGCACGGAACGCTGTTCCCTTCCCACCAAAGCGGTACCTATTTATCTTCTTGCAATTTCTTGCTTTCGAACTGCTAGGTTGGCAGGAGCTGGGGCCAGAGATGGGAGCTCACTCTGTCATGCGGCACTCGGGTCTCGAACTGCCGAACTACCGACCTTCCAACCTGCAGCTCAGCGTCTTAGCCACTTGAGCCACCACAGCCCCATAACATTCTTGTATCCTTATCCAAATTCCCAAAAGCAGTCTGCTCCAAATTCAGTCAATCTGTGTCTCTCTTTTAGTCAACACTTTTTCCAGATATCTAAGTGTTTCAGACCTCTGGCCTTTCCTCAGGAACAAATCCTATTATAGGAATCATACATTCAAGGCATAGTGTGGGTCCATTTGACTTTGGCGGCGGCAGCAGCAGGCTTGGAAATAAGTGAGGAGACCTTGCCCAAGTAGATTAACAGAAAAATCAATGAGGGTGTCAACTTGAATGTCAGAGTGAATGTAAAATTCCTATGTAGGATTTGTTCCTGAGGAAAGGCCAGAGGTCCGAAACAGATATCTGGAAAAGGTGTTGACTGAAAGAGAGACACAGATTGATTGAATTTGGAGCAGACTGCTTTTGGGAATTTGGATAAAGATACAAGACTGTTAGAGGGAGATAGACTGAGAGAGTCTGGAGCAGACTGCTATGTGAAGTTTTATCGGCCTTTGTATTTTTTCTATGAAGGAATAAGTGGTTGCTTTTCATTATCGGGCACTAAATGATGTTGTGGTTTAATCTAGTCTCTTTTGTTATTGCATTGTTCTGTGGGCAATCCAGCGCACATCTGTATGTATTTTTCCGTACCAGAAGTCTGGAAGCCCCCAGGAAAAACGGAAGTGCCCCCTGCGTATTCACACGACTACATAAGCAGGCGCCTGCTTACACTGAGCTGCGCGTGGCAGTCGAGGCCCCCGTGCCTAATGACTGATCCAGGCAGCCCCTTTGGGCAGTGGGGAGGAAGCCCTCTGGAGTGCTTCCGCTTTGCCTGGTTGCGCGGAAGGCCGGGCGGGAGCGCTTCTCTGCTCCCGGTCTCCCGCCGCCTTTCCTCTCTCCTCTCTCGCCAGATGTGGGCCTGTGCCCTCGGCCACCTGGAGGCCGCCCGGCTCCTCTACCACTGGAACAGCCGGGCCCTCTCCATCCCGGACTCCCTGGGCCGCCTCCCCCTCACGGTGGCTCGCTCCCGGGGCCACGTCAAGCTGGCCACGTGCCTGGAGGAGCTGCAGCGGCAGGAGGGAGGGCCCTCCGAGCAGCCCGGCCCGGAGCCCCTGGCCGACACTCCCGGGGGCTCTGCCAAGGCCGGCCCCCGGCGCCCTGCGGAAGCCCTGCGCATCCCCTCCCCGCTCTCGGCCAGTCCGGACACAGGTAGGGGCTGTGGCTCGTGGCTCAGAACAGGCTTGACAGAGGGAGCTGCTGTCTGGCGCCCCCCCCCACCTGCTCTCCTTTCAGATTTTTTTGGGGGGAGGCTGGCCTTCACGTCTCACTCCCCTCCAGGCCCGTGGCTACAGGGGGGGCATCGTGGGGCAAGGCCCCCTGACTTACTGGGAAGGCCCCCCCGAGCTGTGGTGGGGGCAGGGAAGGAGTCGGTATTCCTTTAATCTGATTAGCCAATGCCCCCTAAGAAATTTAAATGCCCCCCAACTA